CGCGGCATCATCCCGTGTTCCGCTACCTCCACGGGATCAGACTCTATCGAAACCCTAGCCAAAACAACCTTCCATGGTCTCTGCTACGTTTTGGGAGACAACATAGACACTGACCAAATCATACCAGCAGGAGCAGCTTGTGTCTTCCCATCGAACCAACAAGAACGTGACGAAATCGGGGCTTTCGCTCTCTCTGGTCTCCCTAGCTTCCACAAAACCCGGTTCGTAGAGCCAGGAGAGATCAAATCAAAATACTCAATCATAATAGCTGGAGACAACTTCGGTTGCGGTTCGTCACGTGAACATGCACCGGTCTGTCTTGGAGCAGCTGGAGCTAAAGCCGTTGTCGCGGAGTCATACGCGAGGATCTTTTTCCGTAACTCGGTGGCTACGGGAGAGTTGTTTCCGCTTGAGTCAGAGGTTAGAGTGTGTGACGAGTGTAAGACAGGAGAGACAGTGACGATCGAGCTAGGTGAGACTGGTGGTTTATTGACTAATCACACGACCGGGAAAACGTATAAGCTCAAGGCGATTGGTGATGCAGGACCAGTTATTGATGCTGGTGGTATTTTTGCTTATGCGAGGTTAATGGGAATGATTCCATCATTAACTTAATCCTTGTTCCATAATAATATATGTGTGTATGCATAACTCTTTCGTATGCAAATATGTGTGTTTATTTATCTAAAGAATAATAAAATACCAAGCCAAGTAATACTAAAAGACGTGTTGTAGGAAATGAATGTTGATCTTTTATAAAAAAATGATGTATCCAAAATGTGTGCATCTTTAATTTTATACTTATTGATATGTGAATATGGTGATTTTTAAACTAGTTATTAATATGGAGTATAAAATAAAGTAAATAACTATGATTGTGTAAATATTTTAAATTTGATCAATCACTCAATTCTTGAATAATATGTTAAAACTAATATGATCGATCCCATTAAAGGTTCGTGCTTTGTCTCTAAGTAATTTTTTATGGGTTTAGGGTTTAAGATCCTAAAAACACGAGCTTTGATGTTTGATTTGGGCTTATATGTTGATTGCAGATAAGTGTATAGTTGAGTTATCTCAAAATTTGGACCAAAATGTAAGCAATTTGGGAGAGCATTTAAAGATGTCTTATGGATCTTCATGGAGAGACAATTGAAGGGAAAATTGATCCTGGAAACCCATCTGTTCTTGTTATTAGTTCCTCTGCTTTGAGATCTTTGGAACTACAAAGGTATCATTGTAAATTTGTCTTCTTTTTTTTATTTGATTTGTTGCTTGATTGGATACAAAAGTGTTTAGACCTGTATTTGTCTGTTATGTGTAGGGAGGGTTTGCATTCATTGAAAGAAATGTCCAGCAGTTAAGTTGTTCTCAAAGCATTTGAAGGTTGAGGAACAGGTAGTGTTCTATTCTTTCATGGATTTGTCTAATAGAGAAGTGAATTGAATTATGGCTTAGAATGATGTGTTTCTTTGGGAGATATGATGACAAAAATACGAAATCTTCTAAGGTTAAATGCTCTGCAGATAGAAATGTATTTGCATCGATATTTTCACAGGCATTTTGCAATGCTCAACAAATATATTTGCACGTCAGACGTCTGATCCCATATATAATGTTTAAGAGTTAGTGCATCTTCATGTAAGAAATCACTTTCTTTGTTTTAGTGTTAAAGATTTGGGAAGTGATGATAAGATATATCGATTATGTCATAGGCACATGCGATGCTGAACAACATATTTGCACTGATCCCGTTGTATATACATCATTAACCGTTAATGCTTATACTCATGTCATTAATCGCTCTCTGTTTCTCTCTTTTGTTTCAAGAGCCTTGCAA